TTCATATTTCAAAAATTTATTGAATCTGATGAGTAGTTTAATTCAAGAATAAATATGACGTCTATTATTTATGTTTCTTTCGAATATGATTATTTGCAAGATAAACTTTGGTCCTCCAATGTAATCATATAAATATACTTTTGCATAAGTGATTTCAAAGATAAACACATAGCTGACATTGCTAGCTTAAGTTATAATGCATGAAATTGACTACAACAATACAAGTAAATCCTTAGAAGAAATTTTCATGCATTATCTATCTATAACAGACAATAAACGACTATTCTTTCATTTAGGCAGAATACCAATGCAAGAAGCATATTTTTGATGGACATGTTACGTTTTCAATCAATATTACGTCACAATCAAATTCGTGCCTAAAAAAGCAAGTCGAGTTTTTAACGGTGGCAGTTGGATAAAGATGTCACGGCGAATGGACGTAAACATTCCTTGGAAAACAAGCCCGTAGGAACTTTTAATTGGAAAGAAAATCTGCATTAAGATGACATCGGTAAGTGAGCTTTAGCACTTAGACTTTTTACAGATAAAAGATTTCATTTTCAAAGGTTATAAATATCCAAGTAAATATTTGCATCTGTTCTTTACTTGATGTAATGAGACTTCCTATCAGCCCTTTTTTCAGTAATTCATTAATTCCTTGAACTTCATATGAGTAAATGATATTCTAGAGATTTTCTCTGTGTCAACAATTTGGAAACGATCAATTGGAAACCGACAAAAAACTTTTTTTAAAAAAAAGCTATTTGTTGTCAAGAAGTTGAAGATACTTGACAGCAAAAAAACTGAATATGCAAACCTGAACAAAGGACCAAATATAAAGAATTATCGTCTAGGCTGATACAACCATGCAGATAATGGAAATTTTATGTATTCTGATGAGCTGACTGATAAAATATGGAAAAAATCGTCTATTGCATATTGCTGATGAAAAAATACATTGTATATGAGGATGTGACAAAAAGTCCAATAAAAAAAATTATGGTCTAGGCTGGTACAATAATGCAGATAATGGAAACTTTATGGATTCTGATAAGTTGACTGATAAAAGTTGGAAAAATTGTCTATTGCATATTGCTGATGAAAAAATACATTGTATATGAGGATGTGACAAAAAGTCCAATAAAAAGAATTATGGTCTAGGCTGGTACAATAATGCAGATAATGGAAACTTTATGGATTCTGACGAACTGACTGAAAGAAAATGGAAAAATTGTCTATTGCATATTGCTGATAAAAAATAAATAATATACATGTGGATGTGACCCAAAGACCAAGAACGAAGAATTATGGTCTAGGTTGATACAACCATCAAGATAATGGAAATTTCATGGATTCTGATAAGCTGACTAATAAAAAATGGAGAAAATCGTCAATTGCATGATGTGATAAAAAAAACATTACATATGAGAATGTGACCAAAAGACCAAAAATGAAGAATGATGACCTAACCTGATACAACCATGCAGATAATGGAGATTTTAATAATTCTAATGAGCGGACTGGCAAAATATGGAAAAACCGTCCATTGCATGTTGCTGATGAAAAATAAACATTATACATGTGGATGTAACCCAAAGACCAAAAATGAAGAATTATCGTCTAACCAAATACAACCATGCAGATAATGGAGATTCTAATCATTCTAATGAGCGGACTGGCAAAATATGAAAAAATAGTCTATTTCATATTGCTGATGTAACATAAACATTTTATATGAGGATGTAACCCAAAGACAAAAATTGAAAAATTATGGTCTAGGCTGTTAGAACGATGCAAATAATGGAGATTTTATTAATTCTAATGAGCGGACTGGCAAAATATGGAAAAAATCGTCTAATGCATATTGGTGATGAAAAATAAATATTTTATATGAAGATGTTACCCAAAGAACAAAAATGAAGAATTATGGTCTGGGCGGATACAACCATGCAGATGATGGAAACTTTATGGATTCTGATGAGCTGACTGATAAAAAATGCTATTGCATATTGCTGATGAAAAAATACATTCTATGTGAGGATGTGACAAAAAGTCCAATAAAAAGAATTATGGGCTGGTACAATAAAGCAGATAATGGAAACTTTATGAATTCTGATGAGCTGACTGATAAAAAATGGAAAAATTGTCTACTGCATATTGCTGATAAAAAATAAATATTATACATGTGGATGTGACCCAAAGATCAAAAACCGAAGAATTATGGTCTAGGCTTATACAACCATCAAGATAATGGAAATTTTATGGAATCTGAGGAGCTGACTGATAAAATATGGAAAATATCTTCTAGTGTATATTGCTGATGAAAAATAATCATTATATATGAGGATGCCAAAAAAGACCCAAAAAGAGGATTTATGATCTAGACTGATACAAACATGCAGATAATGGAGATTTTATAAATTTTGATGAGCGGGCTGACAAAATATGGAAAAATCATCTATTGCATATTGCTGATGAAAAAGAAACATTTTATATGAAGATGTTACCCAAAGACCATAAATGAAGAAATATGGTCTAGGCTGATACAACCATGCAGATGATGGAGATTTTACTAATTTTGATGAGCGGGATGACAAAATATGGAAAAATCGTCTATTGCATATTGCTGATGAAAAAGAAACATTTTATATGAGGATGTTACCCGAAGACCAAAAATGAAGAATTATGGTCTAGGCTGATACAACCATGCAGAAAATGGATATTTTATGAATTCTTATGAGCGAATTGACAAAATATGGAAAAATCGTCTATTGCATATTGCTGATGAAAAAGAAACATTTTATATGAGGATGTCACCCAAAAATCCAAAAATGAAGAATGATGGTCTTGGCTGATAGCACCATGCAGAAAATGGAGATTTTATTAATTTTGATGAGTGGGCTGACAAAATATGGAAAAATCGTCTATTGCATATTGCTGATGAAAAATAAACATTTTATGAGTGGATGTGACCCAAAGACGAAAAATGAAGAATGATGGTCTAACCTGATACAACCATGCAGATAATGGAGATTTTAATAATTCTTATGAGCGGACTGGCAAAATATGGAAAAATCGTCCATTTAATATTGCTGATTGTAAAAAACATTTTATATGAGGATGTGACCCAAAGCCCAAAAATAAATAATTATGGTCTAAGATGATACAACCATGCAGATAATGGAGATTTTATGGATTCTGAAAAGCTGACTGAAAAAAATAGAGAAAAACGTCCATTGCTTATTGCTGGTGGAAAATAAATATTATAGATGTGGATGTGACCAAAAGACAAAAAATGAAGAATTATGGTCTAGACTGATACAACCATGCAGAGAATGGAAATTTTATGGATTCTGAAGAGCTGACTGAGAAATCATGGAAAAAATCGTCTATTGCATATCGCTGATGAAAAATAAACATTATAAATGAGGATGTGATCAAAAGACACAAAAAGATGAATTATGGTCTAGACTGATACAACAATGCAGATAATGGAAACTTTTGGAGTCTGATGAGCTGATTGATAAAAAATGGAAATAATCTTCTAGTGTATATTGCTAATGAAGTAATATTTATATATATAAGGGTGTGACGGGAAGAACAAAAATTGAGAATTATGGTCTAGCCTGATACAACCATGCGGAGAATGGAAATTTTATGGATTTTGTGGAGCTGACTGATAAAATATGGAAAAAACCGTCTATTGCATATTGCTGATGGAAAAAAATAATATTCATGTGGATGTGATCAAAAGACACAAAAAGAAGAATTATGGTCTAACCTGATAGAATCATGCATATAACAAAGATTATATGGATTCCGATGAGCGGATTGACAAATTGTTGAAAAATTGTCGATTGCATATTGCGGATGAAAAATAAACATTATACATGTAGATGTGACCCAAAGACCAAAAATGAAGAATTATGGTCTAAGCTGATAGAATCATGCATATAATGAAAATTTTATGGATTCTGATGAGCGGATTGACAAATTGTTGAAAAATTGTCGATTGCATATTGCGGATGAAAAATAAACATTCTACATGTGGATGTTACCCAAAGACCAAAAATGAAGAATTATGGTCTAGTCTGAGACAACCGTGTAGATAATGGAAGTTTTAAGCATTTGGATGAGCGGACTGATAAAGAATGGAAAAGTCGCCTATTGCATATTTCTGATGAAAGATAAACATTGTATATGAGAATGTGACCCAAAGACCAAAAAAGAAAAGTTATAGTCTAGTCTGATACAACCATAATTCTAGTCTAATCATTATATATGAAAATTTGACCCATAGTCCAACAATAGGTAATAATAGTCTACTATGTTTGAACGATTCATATTTTAAAAATTTATCAATTCTGATGAGTAGTTGAATTCAAGCAAAAATATGGCCTCAATTATTTATGTTTCTTTCGAGTATGATCTTTTGCAAGATGCACTTTGTACCTTCAATGTAATCATATAAATATACTTTGGCATAAGTGTTTTCAAGGATAAACACATGGCTGACATTGCTAGCTTCAGTTCGAATGCATGAAATTGACTACAACAATACAAGTAAATCCTTAGAAGAAATTTTCATGCATTATCTAAAAGAGACAATTTACGATTATTCTTTTATTCAGGCAGAATACCAACGCAAGAAGCATATATTTTATGGACATGTTACGTTTTCAATCAATATTACGTCACAATCAAATTTGTGCCTATAAAAGCAAGTCGACTTTTTTAACGGTGGCAGTTGGATAAAGATTTCACGGCGATTGGACGTTAACATTCCTTGGGAAACAATTCCGTGGAAACTTTTATTGGAAAGAGAATCTGTATTCAATTTCAACACCGCAAATTTTTACATCGGTAAGTGAGTTTTAACCCTTTAGACACCGAACAGATAAATGATTCGATTTTCAATTGTAATGGTGAGTGAGCAAACACTTTTTAGAAGTAAATATTTTCATATATCTTCATTTCTTTTAAAATATGATTGAACTTACCGATTCTTATCAGATCCTTCTTTCATGATTCCTTGAATGTTTCCAAGTGAATGATGTAATGAAACCTTATTCCAGTTAACAACACTCTACATAGTTTCTCTGTGTCAACAAGATAGAAAAATGACACAACAATATTTAGGATGAGAATGTATAATGTTTTCTCAAGTGTATAAATTAATTTTTATATCATACAGTAATAATTGTCAATTCTTTAAGTTTAGCAATTATCAATTTCCAATGTGAAGTTCAAAAGTTTAGTTGCAATGAAAAATTGAGAAAGGAATGAAAGTTTAAGGAAATAAAATATAGAAACTTTTCATCTTACCCGATTTGGTAATGAAAACAAAATATTAGGCACGAGAAAACAACTAACAGGCAAGGCATAAAAACAAATATGACATTGACCTATGCAACTTTGCATGTAAAGGAATCTTCTGGACATTGGTGAACATATTGATAAAGTGTTGATCTTATATTGATCAATGATGTAGAAGATTGTTTCCCACAGACCAAAAATAAAAATTGTTAAATAATCTGGTACAACGATGGAGAAATTGAAAATTTTGGAAATTTCTGAGTGGACTGATAAAATGTGCAAAAACTATCATCTAATGTATATTGCTCATGACAAAAATGATCGCGCAAAAGGATTTCACCAAGAGACCAGTACTGAAGAATTATTGTTTAGAATGGTACAACGAGGCATCGATTTGAAATTCATGGAAATTCTTGAGAGGACTGATGAAATGCGGAAAATTATCACCTTATGCACATTGCTCATGACAAAAATGATCGCGTAAAAGGATTTCACCTAGAGACCAGTACTGAAGAATTGTTGTATAGAATGGTACAACGAGGCATCGATTTGAAATTTATAGAATTTCTTGAGAGGACTGATTAAATTTGGAAAATTATCATCTTATGCACATTGTTCATGACAAAAATGATCGCGTGAAAGGATTTCACCCGGAGGCCGGTACAGAAGAATTATTGTTTAGAATGGTACAACGAGGCATCGATTGGAAATTCATGGAAATTCTTGAGAGGACTGATGAAATGCGGAAAATTATCATCTTATGCACATTGCTCATGACAGAAATGATCGCGTAAAATGATTTCACCCAGAGACCAGTACAGAAGAATTATTGTCTAGAATGGTACAACGAGGCATCGATTGGAAATTGATGGAAATTCTTGAGAGGACTGATGAAATGCGGAAAATTATCATCTTATGCACATTGCTTTTGACAAAAATGATCGCGTGGAAGGATTTCACCCAGAGACCAGTACAGAAGAATGGTTGTTTAGAGTGGTACAACGAGGCATGGATTGGAAATTTATAGAAATTCTTGAGAGGACTGATTAAATGTGTAAAATTATCAACTAATGCACATTGCTCATGAAAAAAAAACGCGTAAAAGGATTTCAAACAGAGACCAGTACAGAAGAATTGTTGTCTAGAATGGTACAACGAAGCATGGATTGGAAATTTATAGAAATTCTTGAGAGGACTGATTAAATGTTGAAAATTATCATCTATTACCTATTGCTCATTACAAGAAGCAATGTGTATAAGGATTACACTCAGTAACCAAATCTGTAGAATAATTGTCTAGAATGGTACAACGAGGCGTAGATTGGAAAATTATGAAAATTCGAGCGGACTGATAAAGTAAATAAAATTATCATCCAATACACATTGCTCATTACAAAAAAACACTAAATATGAGGATTCGACTCAAATACCAAAAATGAAGAAACATTGTCTTGTCTGCAAAAAGGATACAGAAATTGAATTATTATGGACTTTGTTCAGCAGACTTACAAATTATAGAATATTGTCATCTAGTGCTTATGGCTGATGAGAAAAAACGTTATTTGTGAGGATCATATTACCAAAAAAGAAGCATCATTGACTTGTCGATAGAAAGATGCAGAAGGTGATATATTATGAATTTTGTTGAGCCGACTTATAAAATAAAGAAAATCCCTATGGCTGACAGCAAAAAAGATTATTCATTAGGATCCGAACAAAACCCAAGATGGAAGAATATTGTCTTGTCTGATACAAAAATGCAAAAATTGAATGATTATTGAAATTGTTGAGCGAACTTACAGAGTATGAAAAATTGGCATCTTTTGCCAATGGCTGGTGACAAAAACAACAAGATCCGACTCAATGACCAAAAATGAAGAAGCATTTTATAAAATTATGCAGAAAATGAAAGATTATGGAATTTTTTGAGAGGACTTAGAAAATATGGAAGTTTGTCATCTATGGGCTGTGGCTGATCTTAAAAAAACAGTATGTGTGAGGATTTGACCCAGGACCAAAAATGAAGTAGTATGGTCTGTTCTTGTACAATGATATTTGCCTGTTCTAGGCTGTTTCAACGATGCATATTTTTCAGAATTTTTCAATTTGATGAGTGGACTCATAAAATATGGAAAAGCCAGAGTAGTTGAATTAACGTAAAAACATGCCGTCAATTAGTCCTGTTGGTTTCCAATATGATCTTTTTTAAGATATACTTTTTCCCTGGATTGTATTCACATAATTATATTTTGGCATTTGTTCAGAGATAAACACACAGCTGACATTCCTAACTTGAGTTATAATACATGAAATTGATTACAACATTACAATTCCAAGTATATCCTTAAAAGAAAATTTCACGAATGTCGATAAGAAACAATTTGCGATTATTCTTTTATTTAGGCTGTATGCGGACGCATGAAGCATATATTTGATGGACATGTTACGTTTTTAATCAATATTACGTCACAATCAAATGTTTGCCTATAAAAGCAACTTGTTTTTCCAAACGGCGGCAGTTGGATAAAGATGTCACCGCGATTGGACGTAAACACTCTTTGGCAAACAATTCCGTGGAAACTTCTAATTGGAAAGAGAATCCTCCTTCAGTTTATATCGGTAAGTGAGTTTTAACACTCGTTTTTTCAGTAATTCATTGATTCCTTGAACTTCAATAAAGTAAATAATATTCTAGAGAGTTTCTCTGTGTCAACAAAATGGAAACGATCAATTTAAAACCGACACAAGAAATGTTTTTACTAAAAAGCTATTTGTTGTCAAGTAATTGAAGAGAACTGTTAGCAAAAAAGCTAAGTATGCAGACCTGATCAAAGGACCAAAAATGAAGAATCATGAACTAGTCTAGAACAACGATGCAGATATTGCAAAATTATTAAACATCTTTGAGCGGGTGATAAAAAGGGAACTTTATCATTCATTGCACATTGCTAATGAAAAAAGAACATTTTTTGTGAGGGTATAACCCACTGAAAATTTATATAGCAAACGATAAGAAAGAAATGACTAAAAGCTAATATAGATGTTTGGGTATTTTTATCTACTTAACTAAAAGTTGGTCGTCGTACAGCAAAGCAGATTTTAGAAATTTGTGGACTTTGATAAACTGACTTTTTTGGTAAATTGTCATCTATTGTCTATGGCTGATGAAAAAAACATTATATACGAGGATTGAATTGGTCCCAAAGACCAGAAGCTAATAATTATGCAGTTATTAAAACTTTAATGGATTCTGATGAGCTGACTGATAAAATATAAAGAAAGTCGTCAATTCCATATTGCCGATAAAGGATAAACATTATATATGAAGATGTGACCCAAAAACCAAAAGTAAAGAATTATGAACTAAACTGATACAACCATGAAGATAGTGGAACTTTTATGGATTCTGATAAGCAGACAGATGAAATATGAATAGAATCATCTATTGCATATAGCTGATGAAAAATAAACATTGTATATGGGATGTGACCCAAAGACCAAAAATGAAAAATTATGTTCTTAGCTGATACAGCAATGCAGATAATGGAACTTTTATGAATTCTCACGAGCGGGATGACAAAATATGGAAAAATCGTCTATTGCATATTGCTTATGAAAAAAAAACATCATATGTGTGAATGTGACCCAAAGACCAAAAATGAAGAAATATGATCTAAGCTTATACAACCATGCAGATAATGGAGATCTTATGAGTTCCGATGAGCGGGATGACAAAATATGGAAAAATCGTCTATTGCATATTGCTAATGAAAAAAAAACTTCATATGTGTGAATGTGACCCAAAGACCAAAAATGAAGAAATATGATCTAGGCTGATAAAACTTTGCAGATAATGGAAATTTGATGGATTCTGATGAGCGGACTGATAAAATTTAGAAAACATCGTCTATTGCATATTGCTGATGAAAAATAACGATTAAATATGAGGATGTGACCAAAAGACCAAAAAAGAAGAAATATGATCTAGGCTGATACAACCATCAAGAAAATAAAAATTTGATGGATTCTGATGAGCGGACTGATAACATATGGAAAAATCGTCTATTGCATATTGCTGTTGAAAAATATTCATTATATATGAAGATGTGGGCGAAAGACCAAAAATGAAGAATTATGGTCTAAGCTGATACAGCCATGCAGATAATGGAGATTTTAAGAATTCTAATGAGCGGACGGACAAAATATGGAAAATCGTCTATTGCATATTGCTGATGAAAAATAAACATTATGTAAGAGGATGTGACCGAAAGCCCAAAATGAAGAAATATGGTCTAAGCTGATAGAACCATGCAGATAATGGAGATTTTATAAATTCTTAGAGCGGACTGGAAAATATGGAAAAATCGTTTCTTGCATATTGCTGATGTAAAATAAACACTTTATATGAGGATGCGACCCAAAGACCAAAAATGAAGAATGATGGTCTAAGCTGATACAAGCCATGCAGATAACGGAGATTTTATAAATTCTTATGAGCGGACTGGAAAATATGGAAAAATCGTTTCTTACATATTGCTGATGAAAAAGAAACATTTTATATGAGGATGTTACCCAAAGAGCAAAAATGAAGAATTATGATCTAGGCTGATAGAACGATGCAGAAAATGGAGATTTTATTAATTTTGATGAGCGAACTGACAAAATATGGAAAAATCGTTTCTTACATATTGCTGATGAAAAAGAAACATTTTATATGAGGATGTTACCCAAAGAGCAAAAATGAAGAATTATGATCTAGGCTGATAGAACGATGCAGAAAATG